AGGACACTCCCATAGTAAGAGAAATGTGAGCAGGTGCAACTATTAAATATGTAAAACACACATCTTCTCTTCCATTCTATTAGAAGATATATTTCTGAAGAGTGTAGAAAGTCACCTAATATAAAAACAGACAGGTACGAAAATAATCTTACATTATTTTTTTAAAGAACGCAAGTGGTCTCAGCACATCAACTTACCACAGAAAATAAATATAAGCAATTAAAAATTCAGTTTCTTTTCTTTAAGCTACTTCCTCAGGTTTTGCTAATTAGCAACTAATAGTACTGTCATCTGAGCTGGGAAACATAAGGAAGAATACTGGTGGCGTGTATTCAATCACAGCACTGACAGGGAAGAATGAATCATGTTTTCCAGGAGGAATTACTGCTTGGGAGAAGTTGAGGGCGGAAGAAAAGCAGTCTTCACATGACTATAAAATTGTGAAAGAGACCTGAAATTTTAGAAGAGGGGGCATCCTTCTCTCCCCTTTAACAAAACCAGCAGGGAACCTATAGGACATGACTAGTGAATCCAAGAAACTCCCCACAAAGAGCTCTGCAGGAACAGTTAGAAAACTCAACTCTTCACAGTTAAGACTATGACAGAAGACAATAAAACACGTTTCCTGTAACAAGGAACAAAACTTAAGTGTCACCCCTCGGGTACTGGAATACTTTAACTAACTATTATGTCACCTGCCTTGCAAGTTTATAAAAGAATAAATGCATGGCAATAAGTGAAAGCAGGGGATGATGGTGGTCTGAAATATCTGGCTACAGATGGAACAGAAGCAACATAAAACTTCTGAGAAATCCTTAGGCAGGAGATGGCGGTCCTAATCCTGACTAAAGTCGGCTCCCTCAAATCCGGCCCCTCCCAAGCTCTCCCCAATTATCAAGCGCTAGAGATCCTGCTGCAGTGAGAGGCACCACACCATGTCTGAGCCATGCAGCCTGAAAGTCTACTTTCTGGCCTTGATATATAGCCCATCCACAGTTCCCTTCATGAGAGAATAACCCCCAATGCTCCCACGAGGCGGATTTTATTCCAAACATATGTTGCAAATGTTTGAAGTACCCATTATCCCTGGGTTTTTTCTTTTTTTTAAGTCAAACCCACAAAACCTAAAATACTTTGAATCCTGCCTAACTGCAATTTGTGAAGATGCAACATTGTATACCCAAGTATAATAAAGTCTTGTGCAATAAAAATTTCACAGACATCCTTCTGAGGGGGAAAAAATGATTTTCCAGTCTTACAGGAAACCTGCCTACCCATTAGAAACACAAAGTATATATAGAAGCACAAATTAGGCATCTTGGAAAGTCTGCATTTTCCAACCACAAAGAAATAAAGGAATTGCTGTGAGTGCTCAGATACCCAGCTACACTGTGTTAGAAGAGTCTTTTCTCTCCCAAAGTCTGATGGAGCCGGCACAGGACTCAAAGGAAAAGGGAATGGCCTAGAAAGGTGTTTCTGAACCTTGAGTCCTGAAGGTCTGCAATGAACTTGTGTTACTGACAATGCTGGAGTACTGGGACAAAGTAAAAAAAAACAAAAAAAAAACCATGATCACCTTTTACATCTTTCTTTTAAATTATTGGTTTCAGAAAGATAGGGAGTGGGGAGGAGGGGGGAGAGAAAGAGAGAGAAAGAAAGAAGTATCGATTTATTGTTCCACTTACTTTTGCATTCATTGGCTGCTTCTTGTACGTGCCCCAATTAGAGATCAAACCCACAACACTGGTATATCGGGATGACGCTCTATCCAACTGAGCTACCTGACCAAGGTGAAATTCTACATTTCATTTTTAAAAGATGGTACTTTTCTCACATACTAAAAAACTCTCAAAAGATGTATCAACTTTAGCATCACATCAGTTATTAGCTTTATTGTATAATTCAAGCCAGACAAAATCTAACGGCTTTTATTATAAAGTACCTAAAAATACTTTTTATACTAGTAGAAGATTAAATAATCTAACAGGGTTCTAGAAAATATAAAGTCATATCCTATCTCACTCCTTGAAACTTAGTTTAGGACATCTTTAAGTTATTTATTTAGTTATAAATAAATAATATTGTACCTTTCATTTTACACATGTATTAAGTTTGTATTTGTTATATAAAACATTTTATGGTAAGAATTTAAAATGTTAACATTTCTCAAATTCATTTAAAAGTTTAAAAATTTCTTTACTTACAAAACGGGGAAAATTGTAGGCAATCCACTAAGATTCCATGAGAAAGGGCTATGCTGAGAAGGCCACAGAACAGAGTTCTGACCACACCAACACTTTTCCTAAGGCTGATAAACCTCCACTCCATCTCTGATAGAGACAATGACCTCAGGGAGGCAGGTCTGGCAGAGAAAGCCAGTCTACCCTGAACCAAATACAACTGCAACACTAAAAAAAATAACTTGGTTTGGAGAACATACTTATCAACTATAGATGAAGATGATGAAGATAATGATGAACAGAGAAGGAAGAGGGGGGAAATAGGAATAGAAGAGGAAGGAGTCGGAGGACAACAGCTACCATAATACTTTTGAGGTACTCACCATGAGTCCAAGATTTTATTAAATACTTTATTTGCACTGGCTCACTTAATTCTCAAGCGAACACCATGGGACAGGCAGTCATATATCACCCCCATTCAACAGTTAGAAAATGATTCTTAGAAGGGTCACCATACTTGGTGAAGGTCACATAGGCACTAAGGGACAAAGCTGGAACTTAAAATCAAATACTCTGATCGCTAAACCAATCTGTGTAATCTCTAGGACTCTTTGTCCACATTATATGAGAACTAAAGACATTTATTGAAGAAGATACAAGAAACATTGTACATAGGACAATGACGCCTCAGTCCCCTTCAAAGTGGGTACCTTGGGACTTCACACAGTTCTCCCAAATGCTATCCGTTGCTCCATCCTATTTTCCTAAATCACATCAATGGTTTGAAATCTTTTTTCCTTTCAAAAGTGATTTTAGAAGTCTGCCAAATCTGTACTGTAGTGGGGCTGAGTCACTTGGGTGATTTGATGTTTCACCAAAAAACTGTACACAAGACACGATGCACAAGCAGGTGTGTTGTGATGCAGCTGTCAGTTACCATTTGCCCACAGCTGCCACCTTCTGAATCATCCAAATAGTTTCCACAAAGGAATGTTCAAGCTTAATGCAAAATCTGATGCAGATTTGTTCCTCTACTTCCTCAGTCATTTTGAATGTTACAGCCACACAGTACACATGCTCACTCAAGGGGATCTACCACCCCCACTGATTAGTACAATGAAGTTGTCATTGTTCACACATGCTCATTCCTGTCCACTCTCCTTGGCTTTCAGGTTACATCAATGTCATGTAAACTGTTCTCATTATATTAACAGGAGTTGGACTTTTTCCACACAGACCTCATGTATGTAATGATATCATTTATTTATTTCCAATTTAGGGGCTATATTGGAATGGTGGGTCAAATAATATGTGCCATTTTGTAACAGACAACTTATATAGCTCATAAGTTGTCACGTAATTTTAACAGTGATTTGATCAACATTGTGAGAACAGCTAACCTATTAGTGCTATGCCCTCTAAACAGAGTGACAAATGATTTCTAACAGAGGCCAATAAATAAAAATACAATGTAGTAAACACAAATGTGCTCAGAGAAAAGCCCTATCAACACTATTTTAAACTCTCATTCCTAAAATAAAAGAAAATGAAGTAACCTTCTAACGATGGAAGTACAGAAACATGCATACCACATCTCATTTCTGCAGCTACGGAAGCAACACATTAACAGGACCGATACGTCCTTTCCAAGACTCTTTAAGGATCCATAAAACCTTTTCTTCCATACTTCTGACCACTTTTTAAAAAATTATCTCTCCACTTAAAAAAATAACACTATATTCCATCTTTACCAACAATATATTGGGGGGGCAGGCAATTGCTGAAACTTCGGGCTGTACGAGGCCCTTTGATCTGAGCCCTGATGAGGGACAATCACCCTCTGTTGCAGGCCAAGTAATGAAGAAATGGAATTAGCTTTTAGCTTGGGCACTTTTCTTGAGCAAGAAAACATGCACTAATCAGCTCCCCACAATAATCAGTCATCTGGCTAATGACCTTTTGCCTTAAAACACTAAAATTTCTGAATGATGTGGATAAAGGGAAACAAGAACCAGTCCCCTATTCTGGAGCTCAATGGATCATCTGGAACTGGAGCCAGGAAGGTTAAATAGCAAGTCTGTATCCTGGCAAAGTGATAAATCTGTAATAAAGAGCCACAAACTTTGGCACCTCAATATAAACTTCATTATTCTACAACAAAATTATATTTTTAACTAGAAAGAGGCCAGAAATAAACTCAACACATAATATTTTTCTTTATATTCTGCCTTTGCAGAAAACCATTATACATCTTTGTTCAGAGTCTTCATTGATTTCTTAAATGTTACTAAGTGTTGAAAAAGGAAGCTTCCAATGTTTCTGGTATACTGGTTAGAAAAAAAAAGTAGAGCATGTAGAAAAATCTTCCATGTTAAGCAATTTAGTACAAATTTGTTGAAATAGGTTTGTTCCTCCTCAAAAATTAAGCAAAATTTCATTAAAAATGGGAATTGCTGCTGTTAAAGATTTCAGCTAATGCAGCCCACTTTCATTACTCCCTCATCAACCAATTTTCCTCCTGCAGCACCTAGCTGGGTGAAGCAAATTGTGTTCCAGTTGCCAGGAAAGATCCATGTGAATGAGTCACAGATGGTCACCTTCCTGAAAGCCACCCCACTGAGGCCTGAAGTTACTTAGAGATAAAAGGAAATGCCTCTCCCTAAAAAGAATGCACACAAACCGAGAGAAAGAAGGTGGAAAGTAAATAAAACACTTATATAAACAAATGTAAACCAAATAATTCATAAAGCCCATGTGCACACACACATACAGAGACTCCCACAGCTCTGGAACTCATACTGTGAGGCAGGACCCACTTACGGTAGTGAGGTTCCACGTAACCGTTCCTGGGGTCCATGGCGAACACAGCCCCACGGTATGGGACAGAAGGCTCAGCCAGGTGCGGCAGAGACCCATGGATCTCCTTCTTGATCAGTGAGCCCCTCTCGTCACTAGATGTTGAAGGCTCCTCACTGATCTTGCTGAGCCCCTGGACACTCTGTGGCTGCATAGTAACTGCGTTTCTTCTCTCTCTGTGATAGGTCTGTCCAGGACTTTCATCCTCTAAAGAAAGAAGGAACATAAAAGCTCTGTGACCATTTAAGGAACAATTCAAAAATAGTCATCAATTAGGTCTCCCTCCAAAGAAGCAGCCATTTTCTCACTCTTGGCAACTTGGAAAGCTGCACCATGATGGGATGTTCTTCAGACAAAACTGCTTATGAATAAGGGTCCAAAGTAAAAATGGAAGGATGAAGGGGAACTGGAAATGAGCCAATTAAATTGAGAGGTAGTGAGAATCAGCAAGTAATCACAAGCTTACAGCTGAATCTGCTAGTGAGGCTCTTCTTCAGGGACTTGCCAGTGCCCCCTGCAGGTCCCACTGAGACTGGATGTTTTGCCAGCCTAGAGCTGTGGGTATGCAGGTTCCCCTCATCTGTCTGAGGAGGCTGGGCCTCTAGGATAACAGGAGCCTGGACAACTCACTGAGGCTCTGGGTGATCCTGGGGTTGAAGGGGCCTCTGTTCCTCAGTGGATGACCTGTTAGAAAGTAACCCAGAAGTTTCTGTGTTTAAGTTTTTTGTGTGATTTGTAACCCAATGAGAGATTTAACAAGGTGAAAAGTGGCACAGAAAACCCACTAGGTACAAAGGATAAAGTTGCCAATCATGGAATCCACCAGGGTCCCTTGCAAGACACTTCCTGATTTGGACCACAGCACAGAGCTTATAACTAAAAGGAAAAAGAAATAAGGGTAAAAGTTCAAGTGTGAGAAGACTCTGGGGGTAAGGAAGGCATCCATTATGCGGATATATATATACATGCTCTAGGTGGGGTCCAGGCATTGCTTCAAACATGTAAGAAACATTAACGTAATGACACTCCTCATATATTTGATACCCCAGCTCCCTAATACTTCTGGTTTCCTTTGATCTGTAAGAACTTTCCATCTATCCAATATGGTTCTCTGCAAATGGGATTAGATACCTTTCTACAATAGCAGATCAAAGAAACATGCACAAAATTAAACCAAAGTAGCAACTGAACCCACAACAAGTGAACTTATTCATCTAGTAGAATCATACACATAATGCAAAACTACATATGACAAACAAGCTCTGCGTTTAAACAACAGACTATCCTCTGAAAGATGTGCTGATGAAAAACAAAGTTGTTCAGGCACTGCTGAGACATCTAATCAGAAAATTCCTGATCTAAAAAACAAAACTATATTTGAGTATAAATAATAACATTATTGTACATTTTACATGGACAAATTTTTAACATATCTCAACATACAAACTTATCTTCAAAGTATTCCATAAACTGTGTATGTCTAGGTGAGAGCCCCTAAAAACCAGAGAAAGTATGCTTTAGTAGTTTCACAGTTGTTTGTACAAATTCAGAAAGAAGGATACCTCTAAACAGAGACAAGCATCAAAATACAAACTAATCACTATTGTTTTGTGTTGACTAATGACTTAAACTACCAAACTATCTAAGGCCAACAGTCTTTCTGCCTATGTCTAGGACTTTAAGAAATAAGCAACGAGTTTTTTTCAGGCTAGCAAATAACTTGGCAAAACAGTACAAACCATGACATACATTTTGGTTTTTAGTGAATTTGCTAACTACTACAGGTTAACTGTGAAACATTATTTTGTGCAGATCCTCACCCCAAACCTTGTAATTATGGGATTAATTAGGTCAAATACCTACTAAAAATAGTGTAATTTCACATTTTCACACATTGATCTTTACAAAAGCAATTCAAACCATGCTTTTGCTAATTTAAAAACAAACTACAGAAAAACCCTACATTTTTATTTTCCTTCTGATTAATATTTTTAGGCACTAGTCCACCCTTGTACTTCATTAGCAGTGAAGTTGCAAGCCATAGAATAAAGGCTTGCAATCACGTAAAAGCAAAAAGGTGTCAAAAACACTAAAACCCTTAGTTTTATTAAAATTTTATAATCAACAAATGGCCAAAGTCATATTTTCCCCTAATTTATGCCTGTATAAAACCTTTATTTCAACCTGAATGTGCAGCACTGAGGTGCAAATGCCATAGAAAGGACCTTCATTTGGAAAGCCAGCAAGCCCTTACCAGGAGGAGCTGAAACGTGTAATTACAATTCTCTGGGAAAGGTGAATAACCAAGCTCTACTAATCTCTTCCAGGTTTAAAACAGGATTCCCTTGATTTACTAGTCCTAGAAAAAATTAACTCTTCTTCTCTTACAACTGTATCACTAAACTGAGGCGTTTTTTTGAAGCCATGCCTTTATTATGAGCATTTGAATCCAACTTCATGAGTAACAATAATTTGGCAAGGTCTGTCCAGAATCCTCCCATCTTCCCCCACAGTCTCCTGGGAGAAGGAAGTTTGGGGCAGGGGCGGAAAAGGGCCATCTTTTTAGCTAAACCATTCTTTTTTTACAAGTACTTAACTTAAAAAATAAACTATTTTGTTAATGAGGGTTAAGCTAACATGAATATTAAAGTTATAAAAAGAAATAAGCAAAGTTCAAATACTTAATGGAAAAAATTAACAAATTCCCTTAGCGAAATAAAAAAAAAATGCAGGCAATTATTTTTTATGTGGAAACTTTCATCAGTCTTACAATGGTTAAGTCTACCACATTTTTACCTACCCTCCCTCCCCAAAACATTCCAGTAGACAAATATTTCATGAAGTTTACCACTTGCACTGAGTTTCTTCTGATGGGTATTGATGAAAACCTGACAGTAGACATGCTCCAGAATACAAACAGCTACAAGGCTTAAAAGCACATTCTCCCCAGTAAAACCTTCCAAGCAATATTTCTGCCTGCTCTTATAACTTCAGCAACCACATCAGCAAGACAAAAGACAAAAGCTGTCTAATCTTGTTCAGTTGAACCAAGTTGTTCAATAAAGTTTAAGAGTCACTGCAGACAGCTACGCCAGGCCAAATTATTGACAGAAACATACTGTCCACCATGGCAACAAGAAGTCCACTGCAAAAAATGTAAGCAAATGACCCACTGCTCCAGGAGCATCTGCCAATGTACTTTAACAGCCAAAGAGGAGGCAACTGTTCGGCTTCTTTATGTTAAACAGTCGCATGCTTATGGGTCACACCAAAATGTGCACTTCACTAAAAAGTTTCGGGAAAAAAAACTTCCTTTTTTCTTTGTATCTGTACTTCAGTGGAAGTTAATGAATTCCTGAAACAAATGGAGAGCTGCCCAAACTTCATATTTTAGAAACTGTTCCAGCTTTTACAAACTCATCCAAAGGCAACTGACATCAAGCTGGACATTCAAGTGCCATAAACTCTAAGAACTCCAAAGTTGCTTCATCTCACTGTTCAGACTGTTTACAATACCTATTAAAAGAAAGTAATCCTGTTGGGTGAAGCAGGACTAGAACACATACTCCTCCTGTGCACTGCTCACAAACTCCTAACAATTTCTCATTGTAACCCAGGAAACAAGTGTATATTCACCTAAGATTTGTATAAAAATAAAACCCTACACTGCATCACTAACTAGGAATACTTTTTGTCACCCTAAAAAATTAGCTGATTAGAAAGGAACTCATGGTAAAAGTGTTCACATTTTTTTAAATTAACTTCAATTTCAAGCAGTTCCCTTAAACCCCATTTTAACACCATTACTCTTTTCTTCCCCCAAGACATAGAAGTCAGAGTGTAAGAGAAGCAACAATACTTACAACTCAGTCCCCAGGTTCTGGCTGGCTACTTTCTGCAAACTTCTCTTGGTGGGCTTTCTCTAGTTGTGCAGACCCTCTAGGAACATTCTTGGTGTCTCCCTGCCTCCCTCTCCCCCTCCCAGGCAGTGATGCTCCCATCAGAGGAACTAAAAGTCATTGAAGCCATGCTAAATTTAACAAGCTCATTAGTATTCTTTCTGAGTGCTTCTGAGTGAACTCTCTCTATTCAAGCAGATCCCTCCAGGAGAAGGGTCAGGCGGCTAATCATTAAATCAAACTAATGTCACCCTATCACAATCAGGCGGAGAGAAGGAGGGTTTATTATTTCAGTTTATGCTAAATAAATGGTTTTACAAATGGTCCCCAAGCAAGGTCAACAACAGCTTCAATTACAAGGCAAACTTAACAAGAGATGCTATAAACCAAGTACTCTGTATTGACTTAAGATCAGGCTCAACTGCACATATTGCCACTAGCTGAGTAGTACAGGAATGCATATTGTAAAATAAAGGAAGGGGAGAGTTTCTTTCTTTGCCAGAATTTGCAACTGCACAGCAACTCCTCATTCACCTCTCTCCAACCAGCTAGCAGCTCAGCTCAATTCACCCCACACAAAGGCTGGAGCCTAGACCTCAATGGACCGAGTGAAACATGTTCAAAACTAGGCTCTCTATTGTGACTGAATTTCTTAACATCTTTTCAAAAAGCGGAGAATGCCTTGAGGCTAAAGGAAGAAACAGGCTAATGGTGAATTGGGAATTCTGAGCAAATTTCAGAGCCCTTTCCTCCTAGCTTTTGAGGTTGAAAGCAAGCTCTTTCCTTTCAAGTTTCAAAGTCCTCCTTCCTCCCGCAGTGTCACAGAAGGATTTGAAAAGAAGGTAATTGTGCTCACAGTCTCCCTGATCAGAGCTTACGTCCTATTTCTGGTATTTCGGAATACTTCTTGCAATAATAGTGCATATAGCTCAATCCTTTAACCGGCCTGCACTCTGCAATTGCTCATTAAATGAACAATTGCAAGTATAAAATGCCTTTTATGTTCAAGGTCTGGATATAAGATAAGCATTCTAGGACTCTAAATTTGGTTTACTAAGGAAACTTTCCATCATTAAATTACAAAACTGAAGTCAGAATACAGGGTTTCCCAGAAAAGTGGCACTCAGATTTTGGCGAGCCAATATGAAGGGAGAAGTGGGGGGGTATGTGCATCAAAATGTTAAGAAGTGGGGGATGGAGACTGGATACTCAGATTTCTAGCCAAATGGTATTCTAACAAGAAAATAATATTTTCCTGTTTAAGAAGGTCTGAGTTTGTGAAACCTACAAACTGAATGATAGAAAGTC